ATGCTTAAATACGGGGTTTAGTAAAAAAAAGAAGAATAATCACATTTTGCTATTTTATTTTTAACTATCTTAGGTACCATATTATTACCATGGATATTTCCTTTTCAGTGTCGAAGTCAACATATTTATTTTTATTAACTGCCCATTGAATAATTTTTATTAATAATGCTACGAATTTATTTTGTGAAATGTTATGGAATTGGTAATGTGTTTCCATTTCAACTTTCGAGTACTTTGTTGTATATTTTTTGTTGGTATCTACTGACTTTAACACGATGAGAGATTTTTTGGAACTGCTAATTCCACCGATAATTTTGCCTTTATTTACAAGTGTTGGTTCATGACTATTTGGAAACCTCTGTATACAAAGATGTGCAGATTTCGTCAGAACTTTCATACGTTACCACTATGTCCATTAGTTCTTTAATGCCGCGTAAATGGGCCATTAAAGTACGTTTTTTTGCANGAACGTTTACTCACTGTCATTTTCATTTGTCGGGATTCCTCTAGAATAACAGCGCCCATTCAATTAGCTTCAGGCCACTCTTCTAGTTTATTATTCCATCACGAAAACACTTGTAGGTTTAATTCTTTAAAAGGAAAATTTATTTTTTTAAATTTATGCACAGCTTTCGTTGATGTGAATGTTTATATACAGTGTGTCCCCGGATATCGCACTACTGTAAACTTTTTTTTATTGTTGATTTTTCGAGAAAAGGTTATTGATAACAAGTTTTGCTTATTTGAGAAGCCATGAGCAGTAATCAAATATGTAATAAAACATACAGGGCGTCCAAAAAATTTCTAAATGTGAATTTTTTCGTAAGCAAAGTGCCTAATTTTTGTTTTCGTTAAAAACTGTATTTATTAACGTTGTTGGAGAATTGCTTAAATACGGGGTTTAGTATAAAAAAGAAGAATTATCACATTTTGCTATTTTATTTTTAACTATCTTAGGTACCATATTATTACCATGGATATTTCCTTTTCAGTGTCGAAGTCAACATATTTATTTTTATTAACTGCCCATTGAATAATTTTTATTAATAATGCTACGAATTTATTTTGTGAAATGTTATGGAATTGGTAATGTGTTTCCATTTCAACTTTCGAGTACTTTGTTGTATATTTTTTTGGTATCTACTGACTTTAACACGATGAGAGATTTTTTGGAACTGCTAATTCCACCGATAATTTTGCCTTTATTTACAAGTGTTGGTTCATGACTATTTGGAAACCTCTGTATACAAAGATGTGCAGATTTCGTCAGAACTTTCATACGTTACCACTATGTCCATTAGTTCTTTAATGCCGCGTAAATGGGCCATTAAAGTACGTTTTTTTGCATATACTAATACATGGTGTAACGTAAGGGTGGGGAATAAATTAAACGGTGGATTCTTTAGTTTAAAAAATAAATTTTTGTCATATGAAGTTATGCTCTACGGGTTTTCTTTTTCAAGCTACAGGACGCTAAAAAATTTCAAAAGATTTAGTTTTTCTCCAATAACTTTCGAACATTAAAAGATAATGGAATGAAAATTTACCCATAGCTTAATTTGATAATCGCCTAGTAACAGGAAAAATATTGGCTTTGTAAGTTACTCAGTGGCGTGCGTACGTATTACACCGTAAGGTTTTTCGAAGAAAATTGTGGTACGCCACTGGTAAAAACATTTTTTTAATATTTTTGTGTAATCTACATTTTATTTTAAACAAAATTAACCTCTTGTGTTTTATTCCTAGCTCTTGTCATTTTTCCGTAAATAAAACTTTTGCAAATACCATTTTTCCCGCTGCTAACATAGGAAAATGAAAATAACAAAAACATTATGATGTATGCTTTGACCCAGCTACCGAAAATGGTCAAACAGGCATTAAAAAAGACTTGTATGTTTTGAAAATGATATTAAAATATCACATTATTTTAACAATAATTAAAAAACACTAGTGACTTGGAATTTAAAGAATTTATTGAGTAGGTAATAAGAAGTAATAAACAAGATTACAAAAGGTGCTGGAAATGTTGCCCCCCAACTTCAATACATTTTTCAATGCATTTTCTCATAAATTCTCTTACTCGTCCAAAAATACCAGGCATATCTCGAATTTGCTGACAGCCAATTTCAACTCTTTGACGAAGAATCTGTACATCAGAAATGGGAACGGAATAAACTATGTTTTTTAAGTGCCCTCCACACATAATAGTCTAATGGATTAAGTTCGAGAGAACGAGCAGGCCACATATGACTATTGTGGAAATTAATTATACCATCCCTTGTAAATCCAGCTTCGTCGGTAAATAAAATGGATGGGTGGAATAACAAGTTCCGATTGCACTTATTTAAAAACCAGGTACAAAATCTAAGACGTGGTGCATAATCTTCGACAGAAAGCGCCTGAACTCTTTGCAGATTATCATGCAGGATTCGTTGGACAGTCATATGACTTACTCTCTCCATTCTTCCAATTCTTCTAGTACCTACTTGATTTACGATTCACCTCGACCATCTGAAGGATGCGGTACTTCAAGTTGTACTGTCCTTACATTTCGAGATCTTCCGCCGGAGGTGCAAGGTTTTAACGAGCCGGTTTCACGAATACACCGAGCTGGAAAACGTTCAACATAAAGACGCACAGCTAACATAGTATTCCCGTTGGCAAGGCCGTAAATAAAATGCATATCTGCTAATTCTGGAAATGAGTATTCCATTCTGAAAACAAATTTTGGTGGCTTGGTCAAAGGAAAATACTTATAATGTTTTTATTTTCATTTTCCTATGTTAGCAATAGGAAAAAATGGTATTTACAAAACGTTTATTTATGGAAAAGTGACAAGAGCTAGGAATAAAACGCAAGAGGGTAATTTTGTTTAAAATAAAAAGTGGATCATAAAAAATTAAAAAAAAATGTTTTCACCAGTGGCTTACCACAATTTTCTTCGAAAAACCTTACGATATAATTCGTATGCACGCCACTGAGCAACTTACAAAACCAATCTTTTTCCTTTTACTAGGGGATTATCAAATTAAGCTATGGATAAAATTTCATTCCATTATCTTCTAATGTTCGAAAGTTATTGGAGCAAAACTAAATTTTTTGAAATTTTTTAGCGCCCTGTAGCTTGGAAAAGAAAACCCGTCGAGCATCACTTCATATGACAAAAAATTATTTTTTAAACTAAAGAATCCACTGTTTAATTTATTCCCAACTTTTACGTTACGCCCTGTATACACACCACATGAAAAAATACCATGCGATAGACAAGTAATAAGAAGTTGTCATTATTGAATGATACTAGGCAATCACTTACTGTTCAGCGCCTCAAAATGTTACGAAAATGATATATTTGGACAAAATTAAGGAAAACATATTTGGACAAGTTTTCACCCAAAAATTTCACTTTTCGCCAAAATATTTATGCACAAATGCTTCGACACAATTTTGATATTATCATTTTATTGTTAAACTCCAACAAAAAAATTTGTTTCATAAGTTAGTTTTTTCAAATTATACTTAATTTTATTTTTGACAATAATATGCATACATATTCTTAAATAGTAAAGAATTATAGGTTTTAATCATAAATTGGTCTATGGTTTTAATAAACATGTACGATAATTTCTAATCTTCGATTGTTCAGACTCGGTAAGATTTGCTTAACTATGGAACAAATAGATCCTGAAATGAGTTCCAACAATTGAAATTTGTAAGTAGGAAATGAAAAACGATTACAACGGCGCCAATTTTAGATATATTTTCTTATGGTGTTCTTAGAAATTTTGTAATTTTGGCGCCCAAAAATTAGGCAATGCAAGAAGAATCAGGATTCGATGGAAATTGAAAGAGTTTTGATAGTTTTTCTGCTTGTTTCAGCCAAATATTATAAAACTGTTTTTATAATGTCATAAATACACATATTTAGATGAGGTTTTGGTATCGCAATGGAAGTAGATGTTTATGTACTCATGTCAACTTATTATTTATTCTATTTGTATGCTCCTACAAAACTTTTACTTTAATATATGCTTTTGAAAGAGTTTGTGTCGAAAAGTTTTCTGTGATTTCGATAAAAGCTTTAATTTACATTTTGCAGGACTCATCCTAATGTCAACATTTACATAAATGGCTACAATGAAGTAAAAAAAATATATTAAAAAAGCGACGTAATCTGCAACTATTTTAAAGTTATAAGAAAAAATTACTTTCTGTAAATTAATTACAAGTATACATTTATATGCACGTATATAGATCTAATTATAAACAAAAAAATCTTGGAATATAAGCAGATTAAGAAATTTGGTCGTAATTATTGTTTAAATTTTTCTGTATAATTCACATAGGAAATAATTTAGAGTATGTCGTTGAGAAATACCCCATTTTCTTTTAAGTTACAGTTAAAATTGCTGCACGAATCTTTGACGTATGTATTATTATTAATTATTTCTTACATAAATAAACTTTTATAGTAAATGGCAGCTAATGACATATTTAAAAGTTAATTGATTACTTTTTAAATAACAAGAACATCGCATTCGACCATCTTTCCCTAAGTATCCAGTTGAAACGCTCTAGTTAAGGGGAAGATGCATATGTTTTAAGGTTACTCTGAATATTTTACTAAGTGCGCTAATGCATTTTGACAAATTTCCTTATTAATTTATTGAATCAACAATTACTGGTTGCAAGATAAATTTTACGTGCTGAAATTTAATTTAAATGAAGTTATGGATATATACTCGTATTTGAATAAATTGCGCCATTAATTAAGAATACAGAAAATGTTCTAATTGTTATTTTATTTAAAGTTTCAGGATTGTTAAAATTTCATTTAAATAAAAGAGTTTATGCATTTGCTGCACATTTCAAGGAAAATAAACCATTTAATATCCATTAAAGTTATTTTACTCTATACCTTAGAGTACAAAATAATAACTGCCTCCATGGCAATTCTATGAAATAATTTTATTCATTCAGCAAAATAAATTGAATTTGATGAGTCCTCATGAAATGTTGCATTTCAGAAAATGGTTGGTGGCCTTCTCTATCCCAGGTCTTGGATGTGCATCTACGAGAAATAATGATCATTCCCAGGCATTTCATTATAATTGGGAATAATTCTTCCAGAGAATATCTTGAAAAGAAATTAAGAGTCTTGAAGAGGATTCCCTGCAGGGGTGAGAGACTTTTAGATAGATATTGGTTTTATAGTCATTACATTAAATTACAAATTAAAAGCCCATTTGCCCCAGCAATTAATATATTTAGGTATAGTTACGACAACTAAAGTGCCATTTTACTAGAAAACAGGGAAACTATTCTGTATTTAAGACTATGCTCTTTATGTATTTTTATTTTTGCAAAGTGGTAATTTACAGGGTGATTCATTAAGAATGGGCAAACTGAAGATACTACATATCAAAATATGATGATTGAGCTTAACACGCATTATACAAATGTTGCAGGTTTACTTGATACAGGGTGTTAAAGTTCGAATTTTAATTTGGAATGTCTCAATAATTTTTGAATTTTTGGTGGCTTTATGTTTTATGGTACAAGAATTACAGATTTGATGCTGAATTTGGCATTTTCTGTACAGAAGTTGGTAACATCGTGTTACTTTAGGAAATCACAAAACTGACATGTGCATAGAGTTGGATGAATTAAACGAGAGTTTCTTTTCTGTGTAGAATTGAACTACCTTTTAGATTTTTAACTTACTTTAGCCATAGTTCTTAGACAAAAGAAATATGTTCTTATTTACTGAAGTCACAGGGTGTAACTAACGCCCTGTACAGATAGCGGCAAATTCAGCATCAAATTCGTAATTCTCATACCAAAATATATAAAATTACCAAATTTCGAGTTGATTTTACTAACAATTCCAAAAGATATATCAAAATGAAATTCCAACATTAAACACCCTGTATCTCGTAAACTTGCAACATTTGTATAAGACATGCTAAAGCTCAATCGTCATATTTTGGTGTGTAGTATATCCAGTTTAGAGATTGCCCATTCTTAATAAATCACACTGTACAACTTAAATGAAAGAAAACATTAAATACGTTAAAAAATATAAATGAAGTACTTACACGACACATACTCCCAAAAGTAAAATAACATTTTCAATTTGCACATAAAAACAAATAATATAGAAATTATTTAAAGTGGGTATTTAAACAGATTTATGAAAATGTTACGGCGAAGATTAATTCGACATAACGGTTTGTTTTAACAACGTAACACTTAAAAACATATACATATGAAGCAATTTCTGTAGGAACCAAAATACTTAAAGGACGAAATACTAAAATGACATAAAAAAATTTCTCACAAGTTCAGGTTTGTTAATGAAATCTATAATACTTAAGACCGCTGTTACAGTCATTGGTTAACACTTAACTTAAAGTTAACTATTATTTTATCTTTTTATATACCTACTTTCGCCAAATTTGTAACAGTTTCCTCTAGAAATAAAAGTGTTAACCATTAATGTATATATAAATTATTTTTTTGTTGTATTTTTCCTAATGAAACTTCCATACAAAAAACATGCCACTGTTTTTGCTGTTTAAATTAAAAAATAAGTACACAAATTCATTTTCATGAGCTCTTGGAAACCATATAAACTTTTAATTATGAGGAACAATAAGCAAATAATATAAACCTGTAAGAGATGAAAGAGACAAATTATATTCTGTAAAATAGGTTTGTAACTTATTGCTGCCAAAGGCAAAAACAAATTTTTGGATTTACTAAGCCTAGTTTTTTTATAGTTAATTACAGTAGTTGTGTACACAAACATACTGTGGTCAGTCAAGTAAAACCGACAACANGAATGAATTTGTGTGTCGAAATGGAAGGACAAAATTTCGAGAACTTATTATAAGAGCATAGACTAAGTAAAAATGTTAATTAATAATGTAGTTAGAGAATAAATTTTGTATTGATGAGTTGAAACTGTGAATATCAGTTTAAAACAGCGTTAACACATGAAAATGTTTGAAGTCGTTTTTCTCAGAAACGGTTCATTTTATTGTATCGCAACAAGAGATACTTTTTTAAATATTTTTTGATACTCTTTAAAATGGTGCTGTTCAAATTTATAAAGCGGTGAAAAAAAAGTTGTGGGCACTGGAATATTTGCATCATATTTGGAACATAAATCTACAAGGGCACGATTAATACATAGGAAAGACTTGGACAAAATCAAATCACAAATAAAAAAGTTATCGAAGAAAAACTAAAAAAATATTTTTATTTTTGACACCCTGTATCTCCGTTAATATTGAGTTTTCGAAAAATTGCTATAGGACTTTGTGACCCTATTTTTTTGAGGAATCACCTCCTGAAGTCTTGACACATAATTTCCGGACACCCTGTATAATTGTTTATTTTATTTCGATTTTATTAATAAATTACTTCAGTGTAATTTAGTTTTTTTTATATTACACATTCGTTTTCGAGATATAGAGCGTTAAAGTTATGAATCAAATAAAACATTTCTTAGTTAGTTAGTTCGATTCTGGTATGTAAAATTTTTTAAATTAATGTCCCATCAAAGCATTTGCAAAATTTTGTGAATGAAAATTACCATATTTCTGAACCTTGTATCAGAAGGCTCAAATAATGTTGGCTATTAAAATTCTAGAGAGCACCGTTTGTAGAATATCGGGTGTTAAGATTACAAAAGAAATTGTGTGACGTTGAATTTAAAAATAAAAGACTGAAACCGCAGAATAGAATTACAAAGAAACATGTTAAAAAGTGGGGTTCACAGTGCGCCTACCAATCAGTAAATCTACGAATACCGAATTTCATTTTAATAGAGTAGCAGCCATAAATAACTTACTATTCGGATTTCTTGTACATAGCTGGAGCATTTCATAACAGTACCTATGACTGACTCCATCCAAAGGATGCCAGGAGGGTTACATTTACACTACTTCTAAACTACCACGGTTAGGGTGGCTGTGAGGCAAGGATGTACGTAAGGTGGAATTCAGCAGCGGACCAGTACTCGTGCTCTGTGGCCTCCATCGAAGGTGAACTTTTATGAAAGCCTACGCTGATGACCTTGTCATATTCTTTTCAGGGAAATTGTCAAAAGTTTTTAATGAGTTTGCACAAAGGAACCTAAGGAGAACCGATAATTTATATATAAGACTAAAAAGTTAATCCATCCAGTCGATCTGGTCTTCAGTGGTTCCGAAAGGTAAAATTTCTAACAGTTACTCGGGATTATATCAATCTGGATAGCTGATATTGATAGACAATTATAAAAGGTCACTGCGTCCTTTTGGACTTGCACGAGGACTTTGAGAATTTCAATTCGATGCAGCTGTGGTGTGGTGGAACGCTGTTTGGAGGGTCATTACTAATCAGCACATAAATTAATTACAACGACGATACAGCTACCAAATAGGTACTGCTGTCCTGCCATTTCTAGAACTATATCTCGTGATTCAGGGATAGACAAGCAATACTTTATACCGACTAACAACGGGATATGATTGGGCAAAGATTAAGACTGGAGTGATATTCAAAGAACTAGTAGATGACAATANTTAATGTATATATAAATTATTTTTTTGTTGTATTTTTCCTAATGAAACTTCCATACAAAAAACATGCCACTGTTTTTGCTGTTTAAATTAAAAAATAAGTACACAAATTCATTTTCATGAGCTCTTGGAAACCATATAAACTTTTAATTATGAGGAACAATAAGCAAATAATATAAACCTGTAAGAGATGAAAGAGACAAATTATATTCTGTAAAATAGGTTTGTAACTTATTGCTGCCAAAGGCAAAAACAAATTTTTGGATTTACTAAGCCTAGTTTTTTTATAGTTAATTACAGTAGTTGTGTACACAAACATACTGTGGTCAGTCAAGTAAAACCGACAACAGGTATCTCAGGTACACTATCAAAGTTGTCGTACCTACTGAGGTAATAAAATAAATTTACTAAGGCTGAAAATCATTATACAAATTCTATATTGCATATAAATAAAAGTTATGTCGGTCACTCAGCCCCAATGTATGTATGTACAAAAAATAATAAATTTACAATTCGTTTTACTTCAAAACTTTTGTGAGGGTACTAATTGCAATGCAATATAGAATTTGTATAACGGTTTCCAGCCTTAGTAAATTCATTTTCGTTTCATTCAATTACCTCTATAAGTACAATATTGATAATGTAATTATATAGGGTGTCCGGAAATTATGCGTCAAGGAGGTGATTCCTCACAAAAAATTAGGGTCACAAAGTCCTATAACAATTTTTCGAAAACTCAATATTAACGGAGATACAGGGTGTCAAAAAATATTTTTTTTATTAGTTTTTCTTAGATAACTTTTTTATTTGTGATTTGATTTTTTCCAAGTCTTTCCTATGAATTACTAGTGCCCTTGTAGATTTATGTTCCAAATATGATGCAAATATTCCAGTGCCAAAGGGCCTAACCTGACCTTAATCTTCGATCCATGGCCCACATTTTTTTTGTTTTCACCGCTTTATAAATTTGAACAGCACCATATTAAAGAGTATCAAAAATTATTTAAAAAAGTATCTCTTGTTGCGATACAATAAAATTAACCGTTTCTGAGAAAAACGACTTCAAACATTTTCATGCGTTAACGCTGCTTTAAACTGATTTTTAAGATTTACAAAGGAGGCTTTGAAAACAATAACTAATGTTGCCTTAGCTGCTTTTGACAGATAATATTTATGTGAATTATTCTGTTGTGATCATTTGTGTGTAATAAGTATCGTGATTAAAACTGATAAAATGAGTAATAATAATAACAATAATAATTATAATAAATATTCGAATGAGGAGCTGCGCGACATGCATTATTATTATGGCTTAGCTGCGAGAAATGCATCAAGAGCAAAACGTTTGTATCGAGATGCATTTCCAAATATGAGAATTCCACGACTGAAGGTGGTTTAGCACTGTCCATCAGAGATTGGGTGAGTTTGGCTCTTTTAAGACGAGGCGGTTTGATGTCGGTCGCCCACGACGAACTCGAACTCCTGGGGCTGAAGTTCGTGTTTTAGATGTGGTTGATAATAATCCTGATATAAGCGTCAGGTTAATTGCATCGCAGGAAAATATTCCCAAAAGCTCAGTCCATGAAATTTTGCAGGAACAACTCCTGCAT